GAGACCAGAAACTTCATCAAATCTTCCAACACATCAGAATCTGCCTCTGCTGTGCCAGCTGGAGCCATATCTGAAGCCATACACATTACGCAGACTGGTGTCACATCGAAAGGTGTAGACGACCAAGGTAGGAGCACATATGAATTTAAAACCACATCAGATGCCATCACACATGAAACCATAAATTCGGGGTCAACAGACACCACACTTGGAACCAGAAACTTTGTTCCAACTGGTATCATCACTGGCATGAAGAACATTCTTCCGACATCCACCATGTCTGGAAATGTTGCATCATCTGGCATTTCTCCTGAAATCGGAAAGTATGTAACGAGTGTCACATTATTTGATAAAACAGAAATTGTGGCAATTAAAGCTACATCTAAACCTGGAGACAATTTGCCAACTACTCCCACCGTAGAAGCTAGTAACCTTCTTCCAACTGGAGATACAACCGAAATCAGAATGACTGTGCCAACTGGCATCACATCTGACAAAACCTTGTTAGCTACCACCACATCTCCAACCAAAAACATTACACCAACTGTCCCCACTTCTAAAACCATAAGTCCTGACCTAACCGTTATCACATCGGACACAAAAACTAGTTTGCTTACTGCCAGTGATTTGGAGACCAGAAGCACCATCAGATCCTCCATCACTTCTGAATCTGCAATCGCTGAGCCAACTGGCACCGTATCTGGAAACCATGTGTCAACTGGGACTTCATCTGAGATCAGAAAAGATGTTACAAGTGCCACCACACCTGCCATTGTAGAAATAATTCCAACAAATGCTACATCCAAAGCTGGAGACACTGTGGGCCAACTGCTTTCACCTCAGATGTTAGGACAATCATACCAACTGGTGTCACATCTGAAGCTGGACTTTTTGGGTCAACTGCCACAAACATTGCACCGGCTGCCTATACATCTAAAATTAGTTGGACAGTCATTTCTGAGAATAGAATAATCCCATCCAATGGAACCTCTACTACATTGGGTGTGCCAACTAAACTGCCAGCCAGTGTAGAAACTAACAAGACAACCCAATCCACATCTAAACCTGGAGACATTGGGTCAACTGATCCCACCTCAGATATTGGGACAATCACCCTAACTGGTGTCACATCTGAAACTAGACGCATTGTGCCAACTAAAACATCCCAAGCTGGAAGCATTGCACCAACTGCCAAAACATCTAAAAGTCGTTGGACATCCATATCCGAGAAAAGAACAGTCCCATCCAATGGAACCTCTACTGCACCTGGTGCTGCAACCAAACTGCCAGCCGGAGTAGAAACTATCAAGACCACTCAATCCAAATCTTATACTGGAGACATTGGGCCAACTGTTCCCACCTCAGATGTTAGGAAGATTGTCCCAACTGTTGTCACATTCAAAGCTAGACGTTTTGTGCCAAGTACCACGTCTCAAGCTAGACGTTTTATGCCAAGTACCACGTCTCAAGCTAGAAGCATTGCACCAACTGCCAACGCATCTAAAACTAGCTGGACAACCATTTCTGAGAACAGAGCAGTCCCATCGAATGGAACCTCTATTACACCCGATGCTACACCCAAACTGCCATCCAGAGTAGAAACTATCAAGACCACTCAATCCACATCAAAACCTGGAGACATTGAATCAACTAAACCCACCTCAGATGTTAGGACAATCATGCCAACTGTTGTCACATCCAAAGCTGGACATTTTGTGCCAAGTACCACGTCTCAAGCTAGAAGCATTGCACCAAATGCCAACACATCTAAAACTAGTTGGACAACCATTTCTGAGAACAGCGCAGTCCCATCCAATGGAACCTCTACGACTCCTGGTACTTCAACTAAACTTCAAGCAAATCTAAAAGCTAACAAGACCCCTCAATCCTCATCAAATACTGGAGATATTGGGCCAACTGTTCCCACCTCGGATGTTAGGACGACTGTCCCAACTGTTGTCACATCCAAAGCTGGAGGTTTTGTGCCAAGTACCACGTCTCAAGCTAGAAGCATTGCACCAAATGCCAACACATCTAAAACTAGTTGGACAACCATTTCTGAGAACAATGCAGATCCATCCAATGGAACCTCTACTACACCCAGTGCTACAACCAAACTGTCGTCCAATGTAGAAACTAACAAGACCGCTCAATCCACAATTAATTCTACTACAAAACCTCAGACTACAGACTACAGATTATTTCATGAGGAATCAGAACCTACGCCAACAACCGGTAAAGCATCCAAAACACAAACCAATCCCATGTCTCCATCTGCCAATGTGACCACTGGAGCACCTCAATGGACTGCTAGGATGACAACTAGTAGAGATGCCACCATCCCCAGCCCAACCACTAATGGTACCACTGGGAATATATTACGGGAGCTGGTATCTACCATGACTTTGGTAGCTCAGAACGTATCTGGAGCACAAGCCAAGAGTACAACACAGTCCATGAAGCCTGTCCATGGGACTGGTGGAACACTTCAACTGACGGACAGAAGTTCATCTAATCCAGGCACCAGCTCACATAAGGCTCCCACTGGGCCTGCTCCACCATATGGCATGGACAGCACTGACAAAATTGTCTATGGTGTCCCCGTTCCATCATCAGAACCAGTGGCACCAGGTGAGTATGAGCCTGGATCTACTGCTTTATGTACTGTATGGAGCCATCATGTTATGCCTCGGTTTTGTGTCTGTGCAGACGTTCCTTGCAGGGGCTGACTGACAACTCATGGGGCCCCTGGACAATAGGGGATCATGGGGCCCCTGTGTCCTTGCCCAAACTCAAAAAAGCCTATGAAAAAGGTACCAGGAGCATCTCATGGGGCCCCCTACTGACCCCGGGCCCTCGGGCAATGCCTGAGTTTCCAAATGGTCAGTCCGCCCCTGGTTCCTTGTCTGCCTGCAGATACCGACATTTCCTTGTATGACACCCAAGGTGGCCCCAAGCTTCAGATATTTGTAAGTTCTTCCGACAATGTAACGCTTCCAGGTATTTCTGACCTGTCACAGAGATCACAGAGCTCCCCTTGAAAGTGCATTCAACTGCTTTTCTCTCCAGAAGGGCGGCACCTTCTTTATTCAGACCTCATCCAGGGTCACCATCTACTTCCTAGACTGAGATGTCGGCTCAGAGGTGACACAATCATGTCAATCCTGGTGCCTGTGCAGTTTTTGGATGTGTTTACAAATGTCTGACACAGATCAGCCCCTGCTGCACTTTCTCACCATGTGACTGGGTACAATGTTGCAATATTGCAGTCTGATCACTGGGGGAGGGGAGACTGAGGAAATGCTTCCGCCTCCTTCTACAAAGTTACAATGTACAGTCTGATCACTGGGGAAGGGAGACTGAGGAAATGCCTCCTCCTCCTTCTACACAGTTACAATGTACAGTCTGATCACTGGGGGAGGAGACTGAGGAAATGCATCCTTCTACAAAGTTACAATGTACAGTCTGATCACTGGGGAGGGGAGACTGAGGAAATGCCTCCTCCTCCTTCTACAAAGATACAATGTACAGTCTGATCACTGGGGGAGGGGAGACTGAGGAAATGCCTCCTCCTCCTTCTACAAAGTTACAATGTACGGTCTTATCACTGGGGGAGGGGAGACTGAGGAAATGCTTCTTCCTCCTTCTACAAAGTTACAATGTACAGTCTGATCACTGGGGGGGGGGGGGAGACTGAGGAAATGCCTCCTCCTCCTTCTACAAAGTTACAATGTACAGTCTGATCACTGGGGGAGGGGAGACTGAGGAAATGCTTGTCTCTGTCACTGAGCATGTGCACACACACAGAGCCGACTGACACAATATATGAGACTTTGGGAAGATCTTTGGTTCATTTTAACTGAAAATGTGCGTCTTGTAGGGACTATCGGGCTGAAGGTGACCATGTCCAACGCCACAGAGGGGAGTGTCCGGGACTCAATGGACGCCTTCATAAAACAGGTACCTAATCCTCTGATTGATACATTGTAACTCATGATGTTCCATAGGTGGTGTGCCACTGACCCCTAGTGGCTACCTTTTATATTGCAGATTATTCAGAATCCCCTATGAAACCATTTCACAGCTCCCACCTGTCCATCATGTGGAGGGACTTGTTCTTGAAACCAAATCCCTCCGTCCCTCGTGCAGCCTCAGTTGTCCCTGCTTGTGGTGTGATGTGTACCTCTCTATACAAAATGTTTTCTCCTCCTACCAGAAGTATTGTGTTACGCTAAACGGATCCAACCTTCATAATCTGGGATTTTTCTCAGCAGGAATGCAGGTTCTTGCACCTCTAGCACTGAATGTATGCAAAGGCAAGGGGTGCTGGGGTGCACTGGAGGGTCTACTGGGGAGGTATTTTGTTTCAGGGGATCTATTGTTGATGGAGGGGGATCTATTGTTGCTGGAGGGGGATCTATTATTGATGGAGGGGATCTATTGTTGATGGAAGGGGATCTATTGTTGATGGGGGGATATATTGTTGCTGGCTGCAGGGGATTTATTTCTGCTTTTCCTGTTACAATGGAAATTGTTAGCAACACAAAAATGATACGTGGTTCCGTATTATCTATAAGGGGTGTTACTGGGAGGTGGGTAGGGGTGGTAGGGGATGGAACCAAGAGATGGTGCTCAGAGGTGGGTAGGGGGGTGGAACCAAGGGATGGTGCTCAGAGGAGGGTAGGGGGTGGAATCAAGGGATGGTGCTCAGAGGAGGGTAGGGGGTGGAATCAAGGGATGGTGCTCAGAGGGGTGGAATCAAGGAGGGTAGGGGGTGGAATCAAGGGATGGTGCTCAGAGGTGGGTAGGGGGTGGAACAAAGGATGGTGCTCAGAGGGGGGTAGGGGATGGAACCAAGGGATGGTGCTCAGATGGTTCTAATTGGTGGGTAGGGTGTGGGGGTGGAATGGTGCTCAGAGGTGGGTAGGGGGGGATGGTGCTCAGAGGTGGGTAGGGGGTGGAACCAAGGGATGGTTCTAATTGGTGGGTAGGGTGTGGAACCAAGGGATGGTGCTCAGAGGAGTGTAGGGGGTGGAACCAAGGGATGGTGCTCAGAGGTGGGTAGAGGGTGGAACCAAGGGACAATATTGAGAGGTGGGTAGGGGACAGGGGCGGACCAATAGCTCATGGGGCCCCCGGGCAATAGGGGATCCTGGGGCCCCTGTATCCTTGCCCAAACTCAAAAAAGCCTATGAAAAAGGTACCAGGGGCATCTCATGGGGCCCCCTACTGACCCCGGGCCCTCGGGCAGTGCCAAAGTTTCCAAATGGTCAGTCCGTCCCTGGTAGGGGATGGAACCAAGGGACAGTACTCAGAGTTGCATAGGTGGTGGAACCAAGAGACGGTACTCAGGAGGTGGGTAGTGGGTGGAACCAAGGGACAGTACTCAGAGGTGGGTAGAGGGTGGTGGGTAGAGGTGGGTGGAACCCAGGGACGGTACTCAGGAGGAGGGTAGCGGGTGGAACCAAGGGATGGTGCTCAGAGGAGTATAGGGGGTGGAACCAAGGGATGGTGCTCAGAGGTGGGTAGGGGGTGGAACCAAGGGACGGTACTCAGGAGGTGGGTAGGTGGAGGAGACCAGGGCTGACATGGAGGAGGGGAGTACTTGCACCAATTCTGGCTATAGTACTGCATTTGTTATTTTGAAAAGACAAAATAAAATAAAAATAGAGGTAAAAAAAGCACCACTCTTTTTCTGCATAACAAATCTTTGTGGTCCGTGTAACCGAGGACGTGTCCTTTGTCTACATACGGTGTGCTAAAAGGTGCTCCTCGTTATCATTTCAGAATGTTGGGAGGTATGAAATGCTCTCCTACAGTGAAGCTGAATCTGATGGATATGATTCACTTGGATCTCCTGCCTTTGGTCTGAACATTCCTCCAGCACTTTGTTTTAGGGATCATGTTAATATATTTGCATCCCAGCAGTAAGTTGGGGGCAGGGGTGGACTGACAACTCATGGGGCCCCCGGGCAATAGGGGATCATGGGGCCCCTGTGTCCTTGCCCAAACTCAAAAAAGCCTATGAAAAAGGTACCAGGGGCATCTCATGGGCCCCCTACTGACCCCGGGCCCTCGGGCAGTGCCCGAGTTTCCCAATGGTCAGTCCGCCCCTGGTTGGGGGAGTTCACAGGAAGCCACAAAGCCAGATGTCTGAAATGAGGAGGTTCTGGAAAGGGGTGTCAGCCACAGTTCCCAATGCTGTTCAATGGTGAGGAGGTGACATATCGCGGAGTATAAAATATATACTGAGATACAGAACCTGCCGAGGTTATAACCCTCCATTACTCAGCAAAAATGCCTTTAGTTCTCCTTTAAGATTTTGCTTGATGACGTCGGGGGGATGATTGATGGATGTCTCCCGTCTTTGTTGTCTTTTAGACCTGCATGATGTTTGCGGTACGATTTAACCTGAGGAATGTCACTCTGACCTGGGGACCGAGTCGGACCGCCACCAACTGCCAGACTGTTCTGCTGAATTAGGACCCCCGGGGACAGTGGAAGAGATGTGTCACCATTTCTCCATCCAGGAGAGGATGTGATGAAGGTCCAGCCCCATCCAATGTTCGGACCAGCAGAACAATCTATGCACGTGTGTCGCCACGCCAATCTCTCGGAGAGCTTTTGGGTTTAATACGCTTCGAATGTTTATAAAACGATTATAATCTGCTGTCATGTTTATGGAACACATTTATTTTCTCTGTATTTTTACCTGAAATATGATTAAAAATTATGGAGATTAGAGCTGTTTTTTTTAGTTTTGAACAGGACTCTTTTCCAGTGGGAACGCCGGGGAACGCAGTTCTGGTACTTCCAGCACTGAATGTTTGTAATGGTAAGGGGTGCTGAGGAGTGCTGGGAGGGGGTCTATGGATGCTGGCTGATGGAAGATCTATTGTTGCTGGAAGGGATCTACAGTGGAGGGAGGGGTCTATTGTTGCTGGAAGGGATCTACAGTTGAGTGAGGGGTCTATTGTTGCTGGAAGGGATCTACAGTGGAGGGAGGGGTCTATTGTTGCTGGAAGGGATCTACAGTTGAGTGAGGGGTCTATTGTTGCTGGAAGGGATCTACAGTGAGTGAGGGGTCTATTGTGCTGCTGGCTAGAGGATCATTACAGTGGCTGAGGGAGGGATTTATTGTTGCTGATGGGATCTACAGTTGAGTGGGGGTCTATTGTTGCTGGAGGGATCTACAGTGGAGCTGGAGGGTCTATTGTTGCTGGAAGGGATCTACAGTTGAGTGAGGGGTCTATTGTTGCTGGAAGGGATCTATTGTTGCAGTGGAGATATTATTGGAGGGGTCTATTGTTGCTGGCTAATGGTCCTATTGATTCTTGGAAATATTGTTGAGAGGTTATTGCTTCTGATGGGATTTTGTTGCTGGGGGGAAATATTATTGAGAGGGGTATATTGTTGCTGGAGTGGATCTATTGTTGCTGGGGGGTATTATTGAGAGGGGGTATATTGTTGCTGGAGTGGATCTATTGTTGCTTGGGGGAGATATTATTGAGAGGGGTCTATTGTTGCTGAATGGATCTATTGTTGCTTGGGGGATATATTATTGAGAAGGGGTGTATTGTTGCTGCAGTGGATTATTTTGTTGCTGGGGGAAATATGTTATTGAGAGGGGGACTATTGTTGCTGCATGGATCTATTGTTGCTGGGGGGTATTATTGAGAGGGGGTATATTGTTGCTGGGGTGGATCATTGTTGCTGGGGGGAGATATTATTGAGAGGGGGTGTATTGTTGCTGGAGTGGATCTATTGTTGCTTGGGGGAAATATTATTCAGAGGGGTCTGGGGGGATATGTTATTGAGAAGGGGTGTATTGTTGCTGCAGTGGATCTATTGTTGCTGGGGGATATGTTATTGAGAGGGGGTGTATTGTTGCCGGCTGCAGGAGATATATTTTACAGCTGATCAATAACAAACTACACACAAATTATATAGCACCACAAGATGATACTTCTGTATTCTCTGAATGGGGCACTACTGAAAGGTGGGTAGGGGGATCAACTGAGAGATGGTCCTCGGAGGTGGGTAGGGGGCCAAGACAAGGGGTGACTTGAAAGGGGGAGTTCCTGCACCTATTCTCTGAGGAAAGCCCTGGTTTTGGATATACACGGCTCAAAAAAAATGAAAGGAAGACTTTGAAAACCCATCAGATCTCAATGGGGACAAATCTCCTGCTGGATCTCTATACTGACATGGACGGGGGATGGGTGAGGAACGTAAGGACGCCCCATCGTTTGAATTCAGTCCTCTGTAGGTCGATCATTTTCATTTCCATCAAAGACACCCTGAAAGCCAAAGTGAAGAAATGATGAAGCAGGCGAGTCCATTGTGCTGAAATGTCATTGAAGCAACTCAGAATGGTCCTCAGTAGTCTGTGTGGCCCCCACGTGCTTGTATGCATGCCTGACAATGTCGGGGGAGGGTCCTAATGAGACCACGGATGGTGTCCTGGGGGATTTCCTCCCAGATCTGGACCAGGGCATCACTGAGCTCCTGGACAGTCTGAGGTGCAACCTGGTGACGTTGGATGGACTGAAACATGACATCCCAGAGGGGTTCTATTGGTTTAAGTCAGGCGAGCGTGGGGGCCATTCAATGTATCAATTCCTTCATCCTTCAGGAACTGCCTGCATACTCTCCCCACATGAGGCCGGCATTGTCGTGTACCAGGAGGACCCAATGCACCAGGAGGGACCCAGGACCCAATGCACCAGGAGGAACCCAGGACCCAATGCACCGCACCCAATGCAGGAGGAACCCAGGACCCACTGCACCACCCAGCACCAGGAGGAACCCAGGACCCACTGCACCAGAAGGAACCCAGGACCCACTGCACCAGGAGGAACCCAGGACCCACTGCACCAGGAGGAACCCAGGACCCCCTGCACCAGGAGGAACCCAGGACCCCTGCACCAGCGTAGGGTCTGACAATGGGTCCAAGTATTTCATCCCCATACCTAATGTCAGTCAGGGGGCCATTGTCTAGCCTGTAGAGGTCTGCGTGTCCCTCCATGGAGATGCTTCCCCAGACCATCACTGACCCACCACCAGAACGGTCATGCTGAACCATGTTACAGGCAGCAGAAAGTTCTCCACGGCTTCTCCAGACCCTTTCACGTCTGTCACATGTGCTCAGGGGGGAACCTGCTCTCATCTGTGAAAAGCACAGGGTGTCAGTGGTGGACCTGCCAATTCTGGGGTTCAATGGCAAATGCCAATCCAGCTCTATGGTCCTGGGCTGTGAGCACAGGGCCCACTAGAGGACGTCGGGCCCTCAGGCCACCCTCATGAAGTCTGTTTCTGATTGTTTGGTCAGAGACATTCACACCAGTGGTCTGCTGGAGGTCATTTTGTAGGGCTCTGGCAGGGCTCATCCTGTTCCTCCTTGTACAAAGGAGCAGATACCGGTCCTGCTGATGGGTTAAAAACCTTCTATGGCCCTGTCCAGCCCTCCTAGAGGAACTGCCTGTCTCCTGGAATCTCCTCCATGCTCTTGAGACTGTGCTGGGAGACACAGCAAACCTTCTGGCAATGGCAGGTATTGATATACCATCCTGGAGGAGTTGGACTGCCTGTGCAACCTCTGTAGGGTCCAGGTATGACCTCATGCTACCAGTAGTGACACCTGACCCGAGCCAAATGCAAAACGAGTGAAAAACAGTCAGAAAACATGAGTAGGGAAAAAAAATGTTTGTGGCCTCCAACTGTAAAACCATTCCTGTTTTGGGGGTTGTCTCATTGTTGCCCATCTAGTGCACCTGTTGTTAATTTCATGAGCACCAAAGCAGCTGAAACTGATGAACAACCCCCTCTGCGACTTACCTGACCAGATCCATATCCCAGGAATTTCATGGACTTGATGCGATACTCTGATTACAAAGTCTTCCTTTCATTTTTTAAAACTATGGGGTTTTTGGGGTGTTTTTCACGGTCTGTGTACAATTGGGAGATTTGTCTTCATTTCCTGTCTTGGGGCACAACAGGAAGTGAGAGGAAATCACTCCTAAGAAAGAGATATCCTCTCTCGGACAGTTGTCACCTGAACTGGTATCCCCATTGGAAGATTTCCTCCCTATTTCTGTTCTGGTGACAAATCAAAATTTTAGATTTTTTTCATTGTTTTTCGTCTCCATTGGTCACCCAGACAAATCGAGAGGTGACATTTCTCCTGGGGGGATACAGGTCCCAAGAAGAACCAACATTTTTCCATCCCGTCCAAAATCGGGGAAAAAAATAGGATCCAGATACACTTCGGCTTAGTCCAGGTTCACACGACTGCGGCCTGAAAGTTGCACGACTTACGATGCGACTTTGCAGGCAACTTCCTGGCGACTTGAGGACTACTTTTAATGCGACATGATGCAACTTTGAAGCAACTTCAGGGAATGCTGGGTAATCTTCCTGTAATGTCGGATCCAAATCACATCAATATAGATGAGGGTCCGACTTGGAGGCAACTTCCATTAAAGTCTATGGGCACAAGTTGGATAGAAGTCACCTTGAAGTAGTGCGGGAACCTTTTCTAAAGTCGGAGCGACTTCTGGAGCGCTAATTAAGAACGTCTCTCATTGACTAACATGGGATTTCTCACGTCATGTGACTTGGGGGTCTCACAATTCGGATCCCAAGTCCCGACAGTGTGAACTGAGTCTAAAAGTGTATGTGAGCCCTCACCTTGTGAAACAACCCATTCAGTTTAACCGCTTTAAGTCCGCCCTATAGCAGTACTCCCTGCGCAAAATCACGTATATATACATAATTCACACTCCCACGGGCCAGGGGGCGTGCGCGCCTGCCGACCTGCCGGTGCCATGATTCGATGCGTGATCAATCAATCATCAGATTCCGGCCAGTGATCTTCGGCCTAGACCTTCTGATTGATTCCTGCCCTATCAGAGATCTTCCTGTACCTGTGTTTACACTTATTCTTGTATTAGTGTCACCGGCAACTTCAGATAGCATTAGCGCCCGTCCCAGATAGCGTCAGATTGCCCGCCACTACATCAGTCATCACATTTAACCCCTTGATTGCCAGGAACACACTCACATATACAATAAACCTCCATTGCTAGTATAGTGTCTGCATGGATCAATATATTTGATCAGATCAACACTATGCCAGCGTTCACATTAGTACAGTGTCCCCAAAAATGCAGCGTTCGCATGATTAGCCCCAGCACCTGCATTTAGCCCCTATGCTTACCCCCCCCCCTTCTCCTCCAGCAAGTGCAGTGTCAGTAGGTCGCAGTGTTGGCAGAATCAGGCCTGATCTCTGCTAGCACTTGCAGGTACATTTTTTCGTAGCGGTTCAAGCAGTCCCTAACAGCCAGGTGCTCTTTTTCCCATGAGTCGCACTAGGGACCTATAAATTTAGTGGCCGAAATGTCCAACGAAAGGTACTCTAGTGAAGAGGCCTACAGGATTATGAGCATGTCAGATGAGAGTGAAGGGGAAGACTCCCTGACACAATCAGCCTCAGAATATGAACCTGTAGACAGCAGCGGCACCCTGATAGATAGCTCAGACCAGGGGCGGACTGACAACTCATGGGGGCCCCCAGGCAATAGGGGATCATGGGGCCCCTGTGTCCTTGCCCAAACTCAAATAAGCCTATGAAAAAGGTACCAGGGGCATCTCATGGGGCCCCCTATTGACCCCGGGCCCTCGGGCAGTGCCCGAGTTTCCAAATGGTCAGTCCGTCCCTGGCTCAGACAATGGAGAAGAGGTCCCTGCTAAGATCAGGCGTACCCGACCCCATGAAGCTGAAGTGCTAGGATCGCATGACTTGTCTCATATGCAGCAGAGTGCCAGTACTAGTGCTGCACTACCTTTTGGTGAGCTGGCGAGCACCAGCGGCCTAGTACATCCTGGTCTTTCACATACCAGCACTGCAGTATGACTTGGTGACGTGGCGAGTCCCATAAGTGCAGTACAAGCTGGTGTGGTGGCGAGCACAAGTATTGTCCCACAACCACCAAGAATTCGCACACAGGCCCATAGAGCCCCTAGTGTCCTTCCGAATGTGCTTGCAAATCCTGATTGGAAGCCCACAAATTCTGAAGCCCTGTACTTCCCCCATTCACTGCCCAACCCGGAATTCAGGTGGAAACTGCAAATTTAACTACTCCCCTTGATATTTTGGAGCAGTTTTTCACAGAAGATCTGTATGCATTGATTGTGGATCAAAGCAATTTATATGCACAACAGTTTATCGCCGCCCAACCCAAATTCAAACCTTGCCAGACCATTCGCATGGAAACCCATTACGGGTTCCGAATTTAAATTTTTTTTGGGGCCTAACCCTCAACATGGGCATTACTAAAAAAAAAAGTCAATTGCGGTTGTATTGGTCCACAGACCCGATTCATCATATGCCGTGTTCTCTGCTGCCATGGCCAGGCATAGATATGAGAATATAATGCGATTTCTGCATTTCAACAACAATACACTCAGTCGTCCTCGGGGTGACCCTGAATTTGGCCGGCTCCACAAAATTCAGTCCCTCACAAATCACCTTAACCAGAAATTTGCAGATGACTATACTCCTCAGCAAAACATCTGCGTTGATGAGTCCCTCATTAGTATTTCTGGCCGCCTTGCATTCAATTTCTCCCCAGCAAGCGTGCCAGATATGGGGTCAAGATGTGGCTTAGTGGTTAGCACATCTGCCTTGCAGTAAATGGGTCATGGGTTCAATTCGCAACCATGGCGCCTCCTGCATGGAGTTTGCATGTTCTCCCTGTGCTTGCGTGGGTTTCCTCCGTGTGCTCCGGTTTCCTCCCACACTCCAAAGACATGCTGTAGGTTAATTGGCTCCTGTCTAAATTGGCCCTAATATGTGTTTGTATGAATGTGAATTAGGGAATTTAGATTGTACGCCCCTTGAGGGTTAGGGACTGATGTGAATGTTCAATATATATGTGTAAAGCGCGGCGTAAATTGACAGCCCTATATAAGTACCTAAAATAAGTAAATAAATAAGATGTAGAAGACCTGTGAAGGGGGAAAAGGCTATACATATAAGTTTCAGATTTATGAGGGAAAAGATAGTTACGTGGAGCCCCCCTGGATGCCCAGACTACATGGGGAGCAGTGGCAAGATAGTTTGGGACTTGGCATCATCCTTTTTCCATATGGGGTACCACTGATACGTGGACAATTTTTATTCAAGCGTGCCGCTGTTTAGACATTTGTACAATCTTGGAATTGGTGCATGTGGCACCGTACGACCTACCGTATTTTTCGCTCCATAAGACGCACTTTTTTCCCCCAAAAAAGGGGGGAAAATGTCAGTGCGTCTTATGGAGCGAATATGGAGTGGTCGGTCCGGTATTTCCACCGCCGTCGTGTCAGAATACCGGGCCGGCCGCTCAGCTCTGCAGCGGGACCTTACCTGTTCCTCTATCCAGCGGCGCGCTGTCTTCCCGGCTTCTGTAGTGTGGGCGGCTCGGTTTGACAGCCGGGTGCCCAGTGCGCATGCGCGAGAAGCGGTGCGCTTTGTGAATGGTAAGGTGGCACCTGGGACATATGACAGATCCCAGAAGCCGCCTGACCAATCACAAAGCGCAGCGCTTCTCGCTCATGCGCACTGGGCACCTGGCTGTCAAACCGAGCCGCCCACACTACAGAAGCCAGGAAGACAGCGCGCCGCTGGATAGAGGAACAGGTAAGGTCAAACAACTCCGCGGAAGTAAGAGCGGGTACCCGCTCCCCCCCCTCCCCAAAGGTCAGCAGTCATCTCCTGTACTGTCCGCAGTCTCTGGTCATCTCCTGTACTGTCCGCAGTCTCTGGTCATCTCCTGTACTGTCCGCAGTCTCTGGTCATCCCCTGTCCTATGTCCGCAGTCTCTGGTCATCTCCTGTACTGTGTCCGCAGTCTCTGGTCATCTCCTGTACTGTGTCCGCAGTCTCTGGTCATCTCCTGTACTGTGTCCGCAGTCTCTGGTCATCTCCTGTACTGTCCACAGTCTCTGGTCATCTCCTGTACTGTGTCTGCAGTCTCTGGTCATCTCCTGTACTGTGTCCGCAGTCTCTGGTCATCCCCTGTACTATGTCCGCAGTCTCTGGTCATCTCCTGTACTGTGTCTGCAGTCTCTGGTCATCTCCTGTACTGTGTCCGCAGTCTCTGGTCATCTCCTGTACTGTGTCCGCAGTCTCTGGTTATCTCCTGTACTGTGTCCGCAGTCTCTGGTCATCTCCTGTACTGTGTCCGCAGTCTCTGGTCATCTCCTGTACTGTGTCCGCAGTCTCTGGTCATCTCCTGTACTGTGTCCGCAGTCTCTGGTCATCTGTACTGTGTCCGCAGTCTCTGGTCATCTCCTGTACTGTGTCCGCAGTCTCTGGTCATCTCCTGTACTGTGTCTGCAGTCTCTGGTCATCTCCTGTACTGTGTCCGCAGTCTCTGGTCATCTCCTGTACTATGTCCGCAGTCTCTGGTCATCTCCTGTACTATGTCTGCAGTCTCTGGTCATCTCCTGTACTGTGTCCGCAGTCTCTGGTCATCTCCTGTACTATGTCCGCAGTCTCTGGTTATCCCCTGTACTGTGTCCGCAGTCTCTGGTCATCTCCTGTACTATGTCTACAGTCTCTGGTCATCTCCTGTACTGTGTCTGCAGTCTCTGGTCATCTCCTGTACTATGTCTGCAGTCCATTAGTTCAGAATATTTTTTTCTTCCTGTTTTCAGCCTCTAAAACCTAGGTGCGTCTTATGGAGCGAAAAATACGGTAATCGCCGGGGCTTCCCCCAACGGCTTGTAAATACCCGTCTTAGAAAGGGGGAAAAAGCCTGCTTGAGAAATGAGGAATTGCTCGCACTGAAGTGGAAGGACAAACGGGATGTTTTCGTCCTCTCTTCCATTCACGCAGACACGGCATCCAAATTACCACGGCAGCTGGTGTTGTTGAGAAGCCCCTCTGTGTCCACGAATAGAAGCTTAACATGGGAGGGGTGGACTTCAATGACCAGATGATGAAGCCGTACTTAGTTTCCCCACAAGCCAGACGCTGGTACAAAAAAGTGTCTGTTTATTTATTTCAATTGGCTCTATGGAACTCTTTTGTTCTTTACAAAGCAACTGGATGAAGTGAATCCTTCCTAAAATTCCAGGAAGAGATCATCACGGCCCTTTTGTATCCAAGAAGGTGCTGTGGCCCACAACCCAGATGCAGCTAGCCAGCTGAATGAGAGGCATTTTCCCGATGCCATTCCTGGTACCCCAACCAGTAGTGTATGTTGCCCTAGGCAACACAAAAATCGGCGCCCCCCTGCTGCAGAGAGAGCCTGACATTGACCAACAACACCCCTGCCTCCCACCCAAGAGAGCCTTCCACTACAACTGCCCCCCATACACCAGCCACCATCTCCCATGGTGAGAGAGAGACACTCACCTTAACAGCACCAGACATCCCTGGGAACGAGAGTTGGGTTGTGCATACACCATCATGAAACTCGCAGCCTCTCTCGGAACCCACCAGGTCTCCATGCCGCGTGAGTCCCTTCTTCTGAGGGGCAGTGCTGCCCCCCCTGAAAAATGCCGCCCTTGGCAAATGCCTTGTTTGCCTTGTGGTAAATACACCCCTGACCCCAACCCAAAGGACACCCCAAAAAAGATGTTGTGTCTGTAGCAGACATGGAAATAGGCGTGACACCCGCTTTTATTGTCCCTCCTGTCCTGGCCAACCTGGTCTCTGCCTCCAGGACTGCTTCCGTCGCTACCATACACTAGTGGAGTATTAGTATACGGTACAGCACTGCACAGTTCAGGGCACATATTTGCACAGGGTCTCAAAAGATGTTAGGTAGTCAGGAAACTGGCTATCGCATTGTCAGAGACCCTACAATCTGGTTAAAGTTAGTTAAGCAAAAAAAAGGAAAAGGAAGAAAAAAATAAAACATTTTGAAAAAAACGAAAAAAGTTGTCTTTATTTGTTGTCGAGTTACTGTTACGCTGTTACTGTTTTATTGTTAACCATTGCTGTTTTCTTTGCAGGAATGCCATTCAGCTGCATCACCGAACTGTTTATTCTGACAGAAACAGGGTCTTGCTCTCAGAATATACGTAAGTGTTTGCAGCGCTGTTGGATGAGATTTTTCATCCGCAGTTAAAGAGCATATATGCCGAAGCATGGGGGCCAGGGGTGGCCAGTGGGTGGATGGCCCCTATGCTTCGGCATATATTTAAAAAAAAAATTGGGGGCAGAGATTTCTTCATCCACATCTACTGATGTGAATAGAGGGATCTGTTAGGTTCTTTGTTTTTCCTTCAGCTCATGTGTGCCCACCATTAGAAGTGGGTGGATGCAGGGTGGTATATTCTAATGGTGGGCATATCACACACTTTCTCTGGCAGAGATTTCTTCTCTTTTTGTCATTCAGCCCACAGGCTGCATAAAAAAAACAGAACATAGCATATATACCCAACAAGGACCAGCGACATTCTGGTACATCACTGGACTTTGAGTGGTTATACCAGAATGGTGCCTACAGCTGCAGGCATCATCCTGGTATTGTTTCTTTCAGCCGGCGATCGGTTTTCATGTAAAAGCGATCCTAGTGGCTAATTAACTGCAGGATTGCTTTTACAAGCAGCTGGAGATGATGACCCCCCTCCCCTGCTGCCTTCCACGGCTTTCTCAAGCAGTCCCGTGCCATCAGGGGAACCTGAGAATGCAGCCAGTGTCTCTGCCAGCTGACCATAGAGCTGACTGGAGACCAGAATGGCGCCAATCATCTCTATAGTCTAAGAAATCGGAAGCTACGAGCATTTCATCACTTCAGTTTTGCAGGATGTAAACAGCGCCATTTGTAAATTGGGAAAGCATCTGATCACCGATCTTGGTGAGATCAGATGATGTAAGGGCAGAGGAGATATCCAGAGTCTGATAGACCCCAGATTTCTCAAAAAAGTTGAAGTTATAGGGGATATTTGCATTTCCTGTGATAGCATCAAAAGTGATAAAAAAAATGAAAGGGACAGTGTAAAAATATTTAAAAAATTCAAAATAAAGCACCCTCGCCCCCCCCCCCTCCGTGCGCGAGCGTTGACCCCGTGCCAGTATGTAAACAGCAGTTGCACCATGTATGTGAGGTATCGCCGTGAACGTCAGATCAAGGGCAGTAATTCTAGCACTAGACCTCCTCTGTAAATCTAAAATAGTAGCTTGTAAAGGCTTTTAAAGCGTTGCCTATGGATATTAAAAATGTATGCAGTTTGTTGCCATTGCACGGGGCATGAGCAGTTTTAAAGCATGTCATGTTTGGTATCAATTTATTCGGCATACCATCGTCTTTAAAATTTTACCAAAGAATTGGCCAATATATTGTGTTTTTTGTGCATTAAAAGTAAAAAAAGTGTATTTTTTTTTTAAATTTGCGTTTGAAAAATCGCTGCGTGAGACAAAAAATTGCAGCACCCACCATTTTATTCACTAGGGTGTCTGCTTTAAAAAAATACCGTATTTGCCGGTGTATAAGACGACTGGGCGTATAAGACGACCCCCTACTTTTCCTGTTAAAATATAGGGTTTGAGCTATACTCGCCGTATAAGACTACCCCTCTTCCAACGCACACCAAATAAAAATGAAAAAACATCAGATTTGATTTCAATATGGTATGGGGTATTTCCCAGTATGGGGTATTCCTCCCACTCCAATGATGGGCACTATTCCTCCCACTGACACCAATGATGGGGCACTATTCCTCCCACTGATACTGAGGCACTACTCCTCCCACTGACACCAATGATGGGGCACTATTCCTCCCACTGACACCAATGATGGGGCACTATTCCTCCCACTGACACCAATGGGGCACTATTCCTCCTCCCCACTGACACCAATGATGGGGCACTATTCCTCCCCACTGACACCACAGTGGGGCACTATTCCTCCCACTGACAATGATGGGGCACTATTCCTCCCACTGATACCAATGATGGGGCACTATTCCTCCCACTGACACCAATGATGGGGCACTATTCCTCCCACTGACACCAATGATGGGGCACTATTCCTCCCACTGACACCAATGATGGGGCACTATTCCTCCCACTGACACCAATGATGGGGCACTATTCCTCCCACTGACACCAATGATGGGGCACTATTCCTCCCACTGACACAATGATGGGGCACTATTCTCCTCCCCACTGACACCAATGATGGGGCACTATTCCTCCCACTGACTGATGGGCACTATTCCTCCCACTGACACCAATGATGGGGCACTATTCCTCCCACTGATACCAATGATGAGGCACTACTCCTCCCACTGACACTAATGGTGCCCCATCAGTAGTGTCAGTGTGTGAGGAATAGTGCCCCATCATTGGTGTCAGTGGATGAAATAGTGCCCCATCATTAGTGTCAGTGGGAGGAATAGTGCCTCATCATTGGTGTCAGTGGGAGGAATAGCACCCCATCATTGGTATCAGTGGGAGGAATAGTGCCCCATCATTAGTCAGTGGGAGGAATAGTGCCCCATTGTTGGTGTCAGTGGGGAGGAGAAATAGTGCCCCATCGTTGGTGTCAGTGGGGAGGAGGAATAGTGCCCCATGGTTGGTGTCAGTGGGGGAGGAATAGTGCCCCATCATTGGTATCAGTGGGGAGAAAAGTGCCCCATCATTGGTGTCAGTGGGGGAGGAATAGTGCCCCATCATTGGTGTCAGTGGGGGAGGAATAGTGCCCCATCATTGGTGTCAGTGGGGGAGGAATAGTGCCCCATCATTGGTGTCAGAGGGGGAGGAATAGTGCCCCATCATTGGTGTCAGTGGGGAGAATAGTGCCCCATCATTGGTATCAGTGGGAGGAATAGTGCCCCATCATTGGTGTCAGTGGGGGAGGAATAGTGCCCCATCATTGGTGTCAGTGGGGGAGGAATAGTGCCCCATCATTGGTGTCAGTGGGAGATTAGTGCCCCATCATTGGTGTCAGTGGGGAGGAGGAATAGTGCCCCATCATTGGTGTCAGTGGGGAGGAGGAATAGTGCCCCATCATTGGTGTCAGTGGGGAGGAGGAATAGTGCCCCATCATTGGTGTCAGTGTGTGGAGGAGGAATAGTGCCCCATCATTGGTGTCAGTGGGGGGAGGAATAGTGCCCCATCATTGGTGTCAGTGGGGAGGAGGAATAGTGCCCCATCATTGGTGTCAGTGTGGAGGAGGAATAGTGCCCCATCATTGGTGTCAGTGTGGAGGAGGAATAGTGCCCCATCATTGGTGTCAGTGTGGAGGAGGAATAGTGCCCCATCATTGGTGTCAGTGTGGAGGAGGTATAGTGCCCCATTGTTAGTGTCAGTGGGGGAGAGGAGCGGCTGCTCCTTCTTTCAGTTCGCAGCTTGATTTTCGCGGGGCCGTTCGGCTCCGCCTCCTCGCCGGTGATTGGTCGCCTGTGTGCGCTGGCGCCCAATCACCGGTGAGGAGGCGGAGCCGAGCGGCCGCGCGACCATCGAGTGGCCGAACTGAAAGAAGGAGCAGCCGCGCTTCCTGGACCGGATCATCGTGGGGCCGGGACCGGAGCCAGGTAAGGTACAGCAGCCCCTCTGCCCATCCCTGTACTTAGTGTCCGTTGGAGGACACCGCCCCTGGAAAAAAGTGCCGCCTGACACACCGGCTCGCCGTATACCGGCGTATAAGACGACCCCCGACTTTTCAGAAGATTTTCAGGGGTTGAAAAGTCGTCTTATACGCCGGCAAATACGGTATATAATGTTTGGGGGTTCAAAGTAATTTCCT